TAGTAATGGTTCTTGACTTGGTGAATAGTAATGGTTCTTGACTTGGTGAATAGTAATGGTTCTTGACTTGGTGAATAGTAATGGTGCCTACAGAGGTGCATCATTAGCTATAGCAGCTGTAGTTGATGTCCAGTCCAGTAATACTGATCAATGGTAGAGTCTTTGGGCAAGACATTTCACCCACCTTACCTACTGATGGTGGTCAGAGGGTCCATTGGTGCCAGTGCATGGCAGTCCCACCTCTGTCAGTGTGCCCCAGGACAGCTGTGGCTACAATGTAGCTTACCACCATCAGAGTGTGAATGGTTGAAGTGTTCAGCACTTTGAAGTCTGTTGTGACTTGATAAGGCACTATGTAAGTTCAGACCAGTTACCAGTCTGTTAGACTCAGTGTAATGATGATTGCAATTGCCTTTCTAAACTCAATGTTTTATAAGACTAATATTGATTGACATTTCCTTACCTGCTCCATGTAGGTTGAATGACGTAGCATTTCAGACTAAATTACAGGTTTTATGGGACGTTCGCTCAGACGTTTGTTTCTACAACTTCCAGCTGCATTTATTAAATTTCTGTACTAAAGTTTATTGTTAAAAACCAGGCTTGTAAGATGTCTGTTGACATCTTAAATAAAACAAGTCAGGACTCTGTCGCGTTGAACCATTCCGTCAGGTGATTCAGTTAGAGTAGAAAACGACAAACGCATTGGTATATTTTGGTCTTCAGTATTGGAGCACCCCAAAGGTAAGGCACTTTATTATTTTTTTTATTTTGTTGAGCTGTTTGAACCTGAACAAGTCCTGAGGCTTGACTGTGTCACATTCTTCCTGTTGCCATGACACTCCTCCATCTTTATTTTACAGCCAACCCCACCTGCTCAGACCAAGGCACTTCCAGACAAAACACCCGCCGCTGCTCCAGCACAGGCTCCACCTCCTGACCCTTTTGAGTACTATGATGCTGGGAACCACTGGTGTAAAAACTGTAATGTTACCTCTGGTTCCATGTTTGATTTTTTCACGCACTTGCACAGCAAAGCTCATCGAAAGGTTTGTTTATAATAAGTTATCAGATTTAAAATCAGACTGAACATGAATCTTTATCAAAAAGTGATTTGATGTTTAATACTCTTCACAGCTCGTCTGTATTTTATTTTTTTCCAGACTCTGGACCCGTACCACCGGCCCTGGGCTTCAAGTCTCACTAAAATCTCCAAGAACACAATGGAAGCAGAGAAGCAAACTAAACCTGCCAAAGGTAGCGTAAAATGTCGCCTCATACTCTTGTGATGTCATCATAACATGTCATGATTTGGAGTCTGAGCCACTGAACGTTGTTAGCTATCTTCTGCTTCCAGGTGGAACTCATATTGGATCTCTGCTGCAGTTTCTCTGTCTCTTTATGAACAGTGCTAACTACGTGGCACTGCAGGAGAAACTTATGTTTACATCTCTCTCAGTTCTGTTGCTTTTCATGTGTCCTCAACAAAGATCCAAAGCTATTCCAATAATTTTCCATAATGTTCTGCTCTGAAGTAACCTTTGACCTCTTGACCTTCTGTTCCTGGAAACAAAACTTTCTCTGAAACTCTCTCCTGACAGGTCTCAAAGTGGTGATGTCCAGGTAAATATGATGAGCATCTTATTTTGTCACAGCTTGTGGGTTTCAAAAGTCCTGTTTGTGTTTGTCTACAGGTTCAGAGTTCCTGGTTCCTGTCAAAGGGTTCTATTGCCTGCTTTGCAAAGAGTTTTATGGAGATGCCATCTGTGCTGAAGAACACGTCATCACGCATGTTCATAATGAGAATTACAAGGTATTAAAGCAGGTGACGGGCTGCTTTGTTTAAACAGCCAGTAAACCTAAGGATTCCTTATTTCTTTTTCCTGCCAATTTCACAACCAACGGCTCAGGTCAGAGTTTCTGTTTTATTTCAACTTTGAACTACAGCTAGTCATGGTCAGATAACGGTCATAAAAGTCACTGTGCCAAAACCATGTTTCCTCACCATCCTACAGTTTAAATGCCTTAAAATGAGATAACAGAGACAACATATTTTGGTTTCCTCTATAAGTGGACCTGTTTCTTCAAGCCATCATTCAGGTGTGGATTGTAGCTGATAGAGAAAGAGTGGTTAGGAGAGTCTTACTGTACCCAGTTGGTCGCTGGTTCAATCCCCCATTCCAGCGGTCTCAGTTGTGTCAGTGGGCAAGACACTTCACCTACCATGCCCACTGATGGTAGTCAGAGGGGCCGGTGGCACAGGATGGCAGCCCTGCCTGTCGGTGTGCCCCAGAGCAGCTGTGGCTACATTGTAGCTTACCACCATCAGTGTGTGAATGAAGGATGGTAAATGAACTGTACTTAAATAGCTCCTTTCTATCCAATCATTTACCCATTCACACAGCACTCTATAGGTCTCTACAAAGCTAACATACTATTCAGTCTATGGAGACTAATCAGTGCCAATCACATTCATACAATGATGGGTCTGCATCAGAGGCAGTGGGGGTGAAGTGTCTTGCCCAGGGACACTTCGAAGGGACTAGCAGGGAATCTAACCGCCAACTTTCAGATTTAAAGGACAACTCCCTTAACCACTCAACCACAGTAAAGGTATGTAAAGCATCTTTGAGTGTCCTAAAACGCACTAAATAAGACCAATGCATTAATAAGTATTATGGCTTGTCTATATATATA